GATGGTGCAGGAATCTAGAATAATGGCAAAGGTTTTTAGCAAAGTTAATAATAATGTGAAAATTTTAATGGATAAACTTTAAAATGTAAAGCCATTTTATGCAAGAAACAACACATTTAGATATTTTTGCTATAAAATATATTCAAAACAAGTAAAGTACAACCTTGCTTATGATGTTAAGAAAATTATTAGAAGCCAGTATTGAAATTAATGTTGATCCAGCCATGTAGTTAAAAACCACTCAAGTGCTATAAAGGAATAAATATGAGTCTTGGCTCTGCTATTTACTTAAATGAGAATTGTTTCCAAATTGTTTCTATCGCTTATCCTCAAATCCATCACCTGAAAGTGGGCATAAATTATTTATCACATACTTTATATGACAATTAAAATGCATTTTGTGCAGCTGAACATTGCTGCTCACAACTGCAATCCTCTGCAGAGATCTGGAAGACTGTGGTTTGAGGCCATCCCAGACAGCAGACTCCTTCATCAAAATAACTGATAAAAAGCTGAGGTGGCGGTATGGTTCAAGTGGTAAACCACCAGTGAGCAAGCAAGTTAATGAAGTTTGAAGCCTGGTACTTGCAATTTTATGTAAAATGCTAAGTAAACTGGCAAATTCTTTGTGTGTGTGTGTGTGTGTGTGTGTGTGTGTGTGTGTGTGTGTGTGCGTGTGAATGGTCTTGATGCTGGAGTAAAATCCAGTGACTCACACATGTTCAAAAACAACTCTTCTCCTGAGCTACAATCCCACCCATATATTTTAATTATTGTCATTATTATTCCCATCATTAAAATGAACTGAAATATATTAATGACATTATGTAGTGAATAATATATTAAGATTTAATTCTAGTATTTCATTAAAATAAGAATATAAAAACTATATGCTTGAAAAATTATACAAGAAAGGATATCAAATTGTATAATGTGATTACACCTGAATGTTGAGATGGAATTCTGTTAGACCATTCTGCTACAATTCTTTTCATCTTCATAAATACCATAATATCGAATTGTCTCCAGGTCTTGTCTAGATCTATAATGCTATTTTCCTTAATATGTTGAAAAGCTTTGGGAAATAGTGTTTTCCATATTAATTTTCTAGCATTGTTTCTAGCTCCATTACTTGGACTCAATGGCCAGATGAAGTTTTATTACACAGTTCCCAAATTTGTGGGGTAAGGAAAGAATCCTGTTCTGGCAGTGGTAAAGAAAATCAAGAGAAAAAATTTATTTTTGTTTTTGTGTATTTAGCAGAACTTATTGGGCATCTGATTTTGTGGTAGGACTCTATCACTTAAACCATAACCCTTAGCCAGTTCTACTTTAGTTACTTTGAGATAGTGTCTTACACCTGAGTTTTAGCTGTGCTGGAGGCTGTTATTTTTATGTATACTTTCTACACATATTGGGTGACAGACATATCACTACTCTCAGTTGCTGGATAGATTGAGGTCCAAGCTGTTTTCCTCAGACTATGATCCTCCTGTTCTCTTTCTTCCAAGTCTCCAGGATTACATTGGTGAGCAACCAGGTTTAGTCCTCCGAATTACATTATTACAAGAGTCTCCTTATCAGATTTTTGCAACCTATTATCCACAATAATGCATAGGCAGAAGAATCCTAAAAATTGAATTTTACCTGTCATTGGCTTATATTTTCTCAAAAGCTTTTTGTGGCTGTCAACAATAAAATCTTACATAACAGTTTAGCTGACCTTTCAAGGTCTGGCTCTTTTATCTTTACAACATCATTTTATGTAACAGCTTTCCTATTCTTATATTCTAGCCACATCTTCATAAGATCAGCTTTTCTTTGCTCTTTGCATTGTTTGCTGCGTTCATTAGCTGTCAGCTAGTGTTATATCGTAGAGTACATGTAAGTATGTGTATGGTACACGGACACAGGAAGATAGAAATCTTGTTTACTCTTGTTTATTTGATTCCCAGGACAAAGTCATAGCAGAAGCAAACCATAAACATTTGATAAAATAGTTAATGAATAGGTGTTCTGGGCATGATGAGTATTCAAGGAAAATACAGTCAGTTAGTCTCTGCCACATAACAGTTAACTCTTAAATATGTGTGTGTGTATGTATACTGTGTTTTAATATATAAGACTTACTTAATACAGATCTAATAGACTATGTGGGATTTGTATTTCAGCTTCACTTGTCTATTGCTCCTATAGCTGAAGGCTTGCATAAATATGAGTTCTGTTTCGTTACTGAGTTTGTCCACTAATTCTAGATTTGATGGAGAATTTCTCTTTTACTTCCTATTTCTTTTCTTTGCAGTACAATTCATTTGCTCATGAGAATAAACATTATCCCGAGGTATCTGGTCATAAGAAAGTGAAAGGAATGTTTTGAGAATGTTCAGATATCCTTCCAATGAGAAAATAAGCATCACTCTTTGTTTGATTTTTGCTTGTTTAAAAATGTCAACTATTACCAAAAAATGACCTTTTTTTCTATACACTGCCAACCACCTTGTTATTCTGGAGCATTCAATTGCGGATGAGAGTTTGAAAGTTTTCTTGTATAGCATCATAGGAAGAGCATAAGGAAACTGAAATGAGGGTAGGAGTCGACGAGAATGTGACTCAAATTATGTTCATTTTTTATCTAGAGTGGAATTTTTGCAGATCTAATGGGGGAAAATGGTGTTCTCAAAGAGACATGATAATCACACAAACTCCTGTAGAAAATCACCTGTTTTGAAAAGGTAGTGTTTAAGGAATTAGTCATTTTAAAACAACTTAAGTTGGTAGAGATGATTACATTTAAAGTAAGTTTCTAGCACAATCCCTTTAAGTAACCGAAATCATTAATCTGTCAGCACTCTTTTACAAATTATGCTAGGAATTGTTGCAGGAAATGGGGTAAAATCTCTTCCTTAGAAATTTAATCTGAAACAGATTATTACAGTCATAGCTTTGCTAACTCTCCACTGCAAATGTGTTTTCTTTCTTGCTTTCTGAGACTTATCAATGTGGGGTTTCTCGTGGATCAGTGCAGGAGTACTGATTACTGTAAGTTTTATTACAAGACTCTGTAATTACTTTGAAAACTCTCTGGAGGGCCAAGTGGACTGTCATAATTTTTCTTCTCACTTCCTAGCCAAAGAATGCCGTGGGAAATTTAATAAAGAAAAAGATCATGCATTTAATACATAGAATCCTATTCAATTTATACATTACTTTGATTGTTATAAGAGCAACCTTATACATATTCCCATTTATTTTGTTTGCACATCCCCATTTGTCAGATGAGGAAATACTGGCACTGAGCACCTAAACTATTTACAAATACCGTTTTACTGTTTTGACATTTTGTAGTTTATGAATCTTGACCTATATCACCTTTTTCAACATTTTCATCTATCTCTCTCCCAACTCATCACTTCCATCATTTTTTCTTAATTTTGTAGGATATACATTGAATTCCTGACTGCAGTTTCCCCTTCTTCTCTCCATTCATCTAATACTCTCCCCTTGACTTCACCCCACCTCTGTCAAGTACCAACTTCCTGGTGTTTATTTTGTTGAACTTTGACTTTGCCTGTCTAAGAAATCACATGATTTGACTTCACTTTTGAATCTACTGTATTTTAGTCATTATATTTGTATACACTGACATGACACCCAACATACTTATTTTAAGTTTATAAGTGAATTCTACCTTCTACATAAGAGGGACAACATGCAACCTTTGTCTCGCTGAGCCTGAGTTATTTAACATATTTATTCCAGGTCTTTCCATTTCTTTGCAAATGATACACTATCATTCTTTTGAATGGATGAGTAAAATTCCATCGTGTGTGTGTGTTGCATTTTCTAACACTTCTTAATAGCAGAAGACTCTAACATCTCAACCTTCTCCTATAGTTCCCTCATATGTTAATTAGATGCAACACATACTTATCTCCAAGGTGATTATTCTGTTTGCTTGACATTACATTTGGAGAGGAGTATTTAGGGTTTTTCATTTGTGTTTTTGGAAGCACTGGGGATGGAATCCAGGGCTTTATACATGCTAACCAAGAACTCGACCTCTGGGACATATCCCTTTAAAGATAACTTTACTTTTATAATTATTTAATATATCTTCAGTGCTGGAAATCTGGAAAGAAACCAAAAGGATATAGAAAACTAAAGTATAAGAAAAATAACTTCCATCTCATTACTTAGAGGTAATCAGTGTTAGAAATTTTATTTATTGGTTGGTTTGTTTTGACAGTTGCGGGGCTTGAACTTTGGGCCTGGACACTGTCCCTGAGCTCTTTTGCTCAAGGCTTGCACTCTACCACATTGAACCACAGCTCCACTTCTGGTTTTCTGGTACTTAATTGGAGATGAGGCTCATGGACTTTCCTGTGGGAGCTGGCTTTGAACCATGATCCTCAGATCTCACCTTCTTGAGTAGCTAGGGTTACAGGAATGAGCCAACAGCACCTGACTCAATGTTGGAAATGTTGAGGTTCATACTTCCTAGAGCTTTCTATTTCTAGCATAGTTTTGCTAGTAAGATGCCTTCTCTCTTCTTCTACCTTCTGCTTGCTACACAGCAGGTCTGGTTCTATACTGTAATCCAAATGAACAAAGGAAAAGCATTGATCTTGTCATCAAACCCTAAAAAAGACCTAAGAAACAGACTCAAAAAGCAGATATTATTTTTTACCGCTTTATTGTTGATGTTTTGCATTATCATTGACCCTTTTTTCTCGTATCAGAGCTTCCTTGTTATGTACTTACATTCTTAAAAATTCATGTTCTCTTTTCTTTTTCTTCAGGTTTTGAAGATCATGATCCTGTGCATACATCTAACTAAATGCTTCCCATGGATATGGTGGTCATTTAGAGAATATATCTAAGTTGGTGACGAATCCTTGCTGCTGGCCACTCAACATAAGACATCATCTGATTGTGCTGATCAGAACTTTCCTGCATTTCCCCACCATGCTATCGTCATCAGCTTGAATTCCTTTCCTAAAATGGTCCTTCTGCTGATCCTGTCAGTCCTGCTGTTGAAAGAAGATGTCCGTGGGAGCGCCCAGTCCAGTGAGAGGAGAGTGGTGGCTCACATGCCAGGCGACATCATCATTGGGGCTCTCTTCTCCGTCCACCACCAGCCCACCGTGGACAAAGTGCATGAGAGGAAGTGCGGGGCTGTGCGTGAGCAGTATGGCATCCAGAGAGTGGAGGCCATGCTGCACACCCTGGAGAGGATCAACAACGACCCCACACTCTTACCCAACATCACACTCGGCTGTGAGATAAGGGATTCCTGCTGGCACTCAGCCGTGGCCCTGGAGCAGAGCATCGAGTTCATTAGGGACTCTCTCATTTCTTCGGAAGAGGAGGAGGGCTTGGTACGCTGTGTGGATGGCTCTTCGTCCTTTCGCTCCAAGAAGCCCATAGTAGGGGTCATCGGGCCTGGCTCCAGCTCAGTGGCCATTCAAGTCCAGAACTTGCTCCAACTGTTCAACATACCTCAGATCGCTTACTCGGCCACCAGCATGGATCTGAGTGACAAAACTCTATTCAAGTACTTCATGAGGGTTGTGCCTTCCGATGCCCAGCAGGCTCGAGCCATGGTGGACATAGTGAAGAGATACAACTGGACTTACGTGTCGGCCGTACACACAGAAGGTAAAACGCCTTTAGATACATCCACAATGTCTCACAATGCATTCAACAACTTCTCTGTATGTATTGCAGGATGTAGAAGCCTAAACTTTTCTAATTATCTTAGGTATTCTGAGTTCCTCAACAATACTGGTACAGTTGACAGGGACTTGATAGTAGGTATCTCCAGACACATAGGTAAGCAAATATAATAGTTTATATGGTCATGATCTGATGAAATGGTAAGTTTTACATTTTGTACTGAGTTTTTTGTACTTCCTTTATGATAATATACTTTGATATTTGTTGCTAAAGGTTTAAAGTTCTAGATCTTTATTGAACAGTTCACATATTTAACCTTGCTCCCCCTGCCTATTATTTGTGTTTAGGTAAAGGGTTCTGTATATAAAAATACATATTTGGGAAGTCTAGGTTTTAATCAGTCAACCTAAGTTTACTCTTCTTTATGCTGAAGAAATATTCAGAAAGTAAATATCTGACTAATATATTATAAGCTAATAGTAATTCACTTTTTTTGCTTGAGTGTTTTAAAAATGCTTTTATTTCTGCTGTTTGCTAGTTGCTTATAAGGCTGGGTGTGCTGTGTATGGTGTCATTTCCACAGATTGTGAAACACATCATTAGATACTCTTCCTAGACAATACTTTTTCTGAGACAACAAAACCCAAAATGAATCTATTTAGCACTATATCACACTGAAGAAGGGAAAAAAATTTTTATAAACCATTGCATTATTATGAGGATTAGTTAAGACTTTAAAATTTTTGCAATAAGTTACTGATGTGATCAATAATCCAATCCTATAAAATGTGCCATTGAGTCATTCAGAAATAAATGTGATTATCTGTGAGTTCACTTCAGAGCCAGCAAACAATCAGATACACCAAATGTTCGTTGTCCACTTATACTGTGCCATGGATTTCAATGCATGGACACTCATTCATAATATCTAGAACTATACAGATGCTTGATGGACTTCAATATGGACAGGCATTTCTCTGTTTCTGGAAATTTTCATGTGTAAATTGATGCCTTGTTTAGAGGCACATTAAAGTATAGAGATTTGAAGACATACATATTTACAATAGAAACCTTTGATATTTCCTTTAAAATTTTTTATTATTGTGAAAATACTGTACAGAGGGGTTACAATTACATGGGCAAGATAATGAGTACATTTCTTATCAAGCATTGTTGCCTCCTCCTTTGTTTCCCCTTCCCATCCCGTCCTCCCTCCCACTTCCCCCACCACCACCACCAAAGTTGTAAAGTTTGTTTTCAACATAACGACTTGTACGTCTCATTGTTGCAATGGGTCCACCTGTATCCCTATTTAAACGATTTGTTTTTTCCCTTCCCCTCCACAAATTATAACAACATCAAATACAATGAAAGCAGGGGTTATACCTTGGGGGAGTTTTTCTAACGTTATTGTAGAGTTGCTATACAGAGGAGTTACAGTTAACATGAATCAGATAATGAATACTGGGTACGATTGTTTTTGAACCACATCTCCTCTTTTGTACTCTCTCCTCCTGTCCCCATCCACAAGATATCCAGTTCATTTCCCACATAGTATCCAGTGAGTATCACTGTTATATTTGTTCACTCTTGTACCACCTTTTCTGTGCCCTCCTTTACCCTTCCAAATACAAACTAACAAACAAGACAAAAGGAAAATATAGCAACTATGGCAATTAAAAATATCTCCTTTCCTTTTCTTGGCGTTCATTTCATAGAATATTATTTTATGTTATCATACCCACATAGCTATTGAGCCTTTGTCAACCACTCCTATGCAGATCCTATGGAGGCCTCAGAGTGTGAATGTCTAGAGTTTTATATAATTTATCATGCCCCAGTGAGTGTGCATGTATATATATATATATATGCTATATATATATACATATATATATATGCTATATATATACATATATATATGCTATATAGATATATATATACATGCACACATATATTTATTTAATCATTCAATGTGTTTCCTTTTAAAATTTTGATCAATCTTTTCTTCCTCTCTTTTGCTGGAGATTAACATGTGACCCTGGCACCTCATTCTCCCCCTCAACACTGAGGTTTTCCTTGTAAATCCCAATTTCATTTGATTCTCAAAATAATTCAGCAATATCAACAGTCCACATATTTTATTTAAAATGTAAAACTTGGTGACTGGAAAATAAATCATATATTGTAGGTAGTAATTTTAGTTTGGGACTTATAGCTACTGACTTCTAGTTTAGAGCCTATTATAACTTAAGATAGTGGTTGGGGATTTAACTCAGTGGAAGAGCACTTGCCTTGCAAGTGCACGGTTCTGAATTTGGTCCTTAGCTCTGGATAAAAATACTTGATCCAACAGAATCATATCCTGATTCTGTATCCATGAAATATGTATTTGTTAGCAAAAATATATGTTAATCCCTCCAATAGTTCTACACTGGTCAGCCCTATGTTGTAGATATTGTAAAAATTGTGACTGGCAATAGTTTTGCAGTATCATAAGGACTCAAGATATACACAAAAGCTATGTAATTGTAATTCAAAATTATAAATTTACCAATAAATGTATATGGTAAATAGAGATTCAAAAAATCACTTTCTGCTCTGTGATTCTGGAGGCTAGAGAGAAAATTTTAAAGGTTGAGATGGGATTTGATTGCCAAATTTTATCAGGAAGAATACTGACCAAAGTGAAAAATTAAGAAGTCATGGATTTCAATCATGAACATTAGGAAAAATAAGATGGGACTTCCTTCTAGCTTGGGCACTATGCAGAAGATGCTCATTTAAGACTGTGGCTCCAGAGCCGGGCCCTGGTGGCTCACGCCTGTAATCCTAGCTACTCAGGAGGCTGAGATTTGAGAATCGTGGTTCAAAGCCAGCCCGGGAAGGAAAGTCCGTGAGACTCTTATCTCCAATAAAGCACTAGAAAACCGGAAGTGGCTCTGTGGCTCAAGTGGTAGAGCACTAGCCTTCAGCTGAAGAGCTGAGGGACAGCACCCAAGCCCAGAGTTCAAGCCCCATGACCGACCAAAAAAAAAAAAAAAAGACTGTGGCTCCAGGTCAGTTATGATCATTGGATTTCACTAATTCAGGCTGTTATTTTAACTCCAATATGTACCAATAGTTAACAAGTAATCTAATAAACTATGATGCCTTCAAATGGTGCATTACTATACAGCTATTAAATGAATGAGAGATGAATAATGATCCTTGAGAACATTTTACTGGAAAAAAAAAGTACATCCCTATTTGTTTAAAAGGACCTATTTTCATTCTAAACCTTTTAAATTAAATATTCAGACTTGCTCACAAAAATGAGAAAAACAACAATTTCTTCTTCTGGGAGGAACCATAAATGATTAGGAAATGTGACAGTGGGATAGATTCGTTTTTCATGGATAACTTTTGCATACATATGCCCCAACATATCTACTACATATGTAAATTCCACATTTCTTTCTTTTTCTTTTTCTTTTTTGTCAGTTGTGGGGATTGAACTCTGGGCCTGGGCACTGTCCCTCAGCTCTTCAGCTCAAGGCTAGCACTCTACTACTTGAGCTATAGCACCACTTCTGATTTTCTGGTGGTTTATTAGACATAAGAATCTCATGGACTTTCCAGCCTAGGCTGGCTTTGAACTGTGATCCTCAGATCTCAGCCTCCTGAGTAGCTAGGATTACAGGTGTGAGCTACCCACACCCAGCTAAATTCCATATTTCTATATATCCATGACAAGAAAATATTCTCTCTGAAGGCAAACATGAGACAATAGCAATTACACTGAAAGAAATACTTTACATTATTGTTTAATGTGATTAGGTCAGTAGTTACCTTGTTTAATTCCAAGCAATAATCAGGTAAAGAGGTTAGGTACTTTCATGCCTTCAGTTTTTCAGTGTTAAGAGTAGCTTGTAGGAATTTACACACAGTAAAACTCACATGCAGGAACATAAAAGACTTGAATCAAACAAGGGTCTTAATTGAAAAGTCTCCAAGGTAAAGACAAGGTTCTGTTGCAGCAAAATCTCACAGACATTTCATTGCTCAAAATAATTTTACATGAAATGTGATATCACTTATTTCTCTCTCTCTCTCTCTTTCTCTCTCTTTATAGTTTATTTTAATGTTTTTTTATCACAATCTTCCTTTGCTCAGATGATAGTCCTTTTTCTTGGAAAGTCTGGGATTTTCTTGATGCTTTCACATGAGCCATTGAGTTGTATGAAAAGATATGCTCCTATTTTCAGAAACATTTTATCCTCAAATGCCTGTTTGTGCCAGTACTGGGGACTATTTCTTGCTGGAGTTGCTCACAACTGGCAGTCTACCACTGGAGCCATGCTTCTAGTTTGGCATTTTGCAGGTTGCTTAGAGATGGAGTCTCACAGACTTTTCTACCTGGGCTAGTATTGAATCTTGATTCTCTAAGTCTCAGTCTCTTGAGTAGTTAAGATTGTAAGTATGAACTACTGACACTTGGTTTATTTTATACTAAGCCTAAAAAAAAGAATGTCACTCAACCTGGCAGGTATTTAAAAAAATGTCCTTCAAGAAAATTCATGCTATCACCAAGTGCCAGAGAGCAGCACTGGAGACTTGGGTTTCAGCATTGATGTTAATCTCTCACACTTGAAATTCCTGGGCTTATGGGATCTATAAGCAGCAGGACTGTTTAGTATGGTTTGCTTTACTACACTGAAATCATGCCTGAAACTTCTAGACAAACAGAATGACAGTAACACAGAAGAGAAGGAGGAACAGGAATATTTGTTTTTTGTGTGTCTGTATGTATGTGGTAGTGCTGGATGCTCTCTCTGTATGACACAAATGAGCCACAACTCAACCTCCTGATTTTTGTTTGCTAATTGGATATCAGAGTCACATGGACTTTCCTGCCTGGGCTGGCTTTGAACTGCAATCTTCATATCTCAGCCTCTTGAGTAGCTAGGATTACAGGCTTGAGCCACTGCCCCCGCCCAGCTAAG